AATCACTGTTTTATGGGGGGGGGGGGGAATTGTGCTTGAATATCTTTTTCCAGAAAAATAAAAATTTGCTGCAATTTCACAGGTAATTTTGGAGGGTCAACATCACTTTTCATTAGGAATTCAAGTCCACCAAGTTTATTAAACAGACAGTTAGGGATATGATACCACAGAGGTAGGATTAGACAGACATAATTTTAACCATTTCATTCTAAAAGTACCCACTAACAACTCACAATCAATAGCCTCTATACCTCCATGATCAAAGTCTTTCACTAATTGAGATTTCTGAATATAATGCATTTTATTCCTCCAAATAAATCTTAATATAACAGAATTAACTTTTTTGATGTTATTAGAATAAATAAAAAGCGACTGACTTGGGTAAATTATTCTAGATAAAGAAGACGACCCAAAATTGAGAAATCACGTTGCAGCCACTGACTTTAAGAAACTCTTATGGAATTAATTATACTATCAATGTTTAAAGATTCTCTATCTGAAACGTTTTTAGTGATAACAATTCCTAAATATTTAACTTCCTTTTTAGCAGGTATGGAGGCAATGTTAACTGAGTCACAACAATGAATTGTTCACCATTTGTTAAGGTTGAGAGTCAACCCAGAGGCCATAGAACATTTCTTGATTCTGTCAATAGCCAAAGGAATAGGAATATATTTATATCTTTACCAAAAATACTTTTAACATTTTTAATTCTCAGATTTGTTAAGAAATACGGCTAGTAAATCTGTTGCTAAAATAAATACAGTGGGGGAAAAAAAGTATTTGATCCCCTGCTGATTTTGTACGTTTGCCCACTGACAAAGTCATGATCAGTCTATCATTTTAATGGTAGGTTTATTTGAACAGTGAGAGACAGAATAACAACAACAAAATCCAGAAAAACGCATGTCAAAAATGTTATAAATTGATTTGCATATTAATGGGGGAAATAAGTATTTGACCCCTCTGCAAAACATGACTTAGTACTTGGTGGCAAAACCCTTGTTGGCAATCACAGTGGTCAGACCTTTCTTGTAGTTGGCCACCAGGTTTGTACACATCTCAGGAGGGATTTTGTTCCACTCCTCTTTGCAGATCTTCTCCAAGTCATTAAGGTTTCGAGGCTGACGTTTGGCAACTCGAACCTTCAGCTCCCTCCACAGATTTTCTATGGGATTAAGGTCTGGAGACTGGCTAGGCCACTCCAGGACCTTAATGTGCTTCTTCTTGAGCCACTCCTTTGATTCCTTGGCTGTGTGTTTTGGGTCATTGTCATGCTGGAATACCCATCCACAAGCCATTTTCAATGCCCTGGCTGAGGGAAGGAGGTTCTCACCCAAGATTTGACGGTACATGGCCCTGTCCATCATCCCTATGATGCGGTGAAGTTGTCCTGTCCCCTTAGCAGAAAAACACCCCCAAAGCATAATGTTTCCACCTCCCATGTTTGACGGTGGGGATGGTGTTCTTGGGGTCATAGGCAGCATTCCTCCTCCTCCAAACACGGCGAGTTGAGTTGATGCCAAAGAGCTCCATTTTGGTCTCATCTGACCACAACACTTTCACCCAGTTCTCCTCTGAATCATGCAGATGTTCATTGGCAAACTTCAGACGGCCCTGTATATGTGCTTTCTTGAGCAGGTGGACCTTGCGGGCGCTGCAGGATTTCAGTCCTTCACGGCGTAGTGTGTTACCAATTGTTTTCTTGGTGACTATGGTCCCAGCTGCCTTGAGATCATTGACAAGATCCTCCCGTGTAGTTCTGGGCTTATTCCTCAAAGTTCTCATGATCATTGCAACTCCACGAGGTGAGAACTTGCATGGAGCCCCAGGTCGAGGGAGATTGACAGTTCTTTTGTGTTTCTTCCATTTGCGAATAATCGCACCAACTGTTGTCACCTTCTCACCAAGCTGCTTGGCGATGGTCTTGTAGCCCATTCCAGCCTTGTGTAGGTCTGCAATCTTGTCCCTGACATCCTTGGAGAGCTCTTTGGTCTTGGCCATGGTGGAGAGTTTGGAATCTGATTGATTGATTGCTTCTGTGGACAGGTGTCTTTTTATACAGGTAACAAGCTGAGATTAGGAGCACTCCCTTTAAGAGTGTGCTCCAATCTCAGCTCGTTACCTGTATAAAAGACACCTGGGAGCCAGAAATCTTTCTGATTGAGAGGGGGTCAAATACTATTTCCCTCATTAAAATGCAAATCAATTATAAACATTTTTGACATGCGTTTTTCTGGATTTTTTTGTGTTATTCTGTCTCTCCACTGTTTAAAATAAACCTACCATTAAAAATTATGAACTGATAATTTCTTTTGTCAAGTGGGCCAAACATAACAAAATCATCATGGGGATCAAATTACTTTGTTCCCTCACTGTAAGAGGAGATTGGACCCTTCTAATCCTCTAGCATAGAAACGAGGGGATTCCATCTCAAGCACCGAAGCATAGTTATAACATACCTATCACTTACAGAAATGACCCCGAACCAAAAGTAGAGAGAAATAAAAGTTGCTCTAAGTGTCAAGCCTAAAAAAATTGAAATAATATCAAATAAATGTATTGTAACATGCGCTCATACAGTGACTTACGGAAATGCTACTACAAGCCTTAACCAACAATGCCATTTAAAGAAAGATCACCCCCCCCCAAGTACAATTTATAAAGAGCGTATAAAATAACATACGAGGCTATTCAGGGGTTACGTACCGAGCATTAGGGCAGAAGGTATTGGGAAATATTACATGTAGGTAGTTATTAAGTGAATAAACAGAGAGTAGCAGCAGTGTAAAAGAGGGGGTGGGGGCAATGCAAATAGTCTGGGTAGCCATTTGATTAGATGTTCAGGAGTCTTATGGCTTGGGGGTAGAAGCTGTTTAGAAGCCTCTTGGACCTAGACTTGGCTCTCCGGTACCGCTTGCCGTGCGGTAGCAGAGAGAACAGTCAATGACTAGGGTGGCTGGAGTCTATGACTAGGTGGCTGGAGTCTTCTTCTATGAACTTACTGTAATCCAAAATATCTAACACCAATCATATATGGTTATGAATACTCCTTCCTTTAATGAAGGCTTTCAGTTGAGTTTCACTGATTATATCATCAAGGGCTTTTTTCAGCCTATTGGCATAGACATGGGCTAGTAACTTATAGTCAGTTGCCAACCACGTGATTGGTCTCCAATTGTCCAAGTAAAGAGAGTCCTTCTTTGGTTTGGGTATAATAACTATTAGTCCCTGTCTCAAAGAAGGAGGTAAGTTAGCATTGGCAACACACACTTAGTGACGAACAGTATATATCTCTAATTAGGCCAATATGTCGATAGATTAGAGTCCGTCGGTCAGGAATTTACCTATAGGCATTATTAAGGCCTTGGCAACTCAGTAAATCAAATCAGAATTACAGAGTTGCTTAACCTTTATTCTATAGTTAACCAGGAGTTATTTACTGATCAAAAAGAATCCAGTCGCTACGAAGATTTATACAGGTCTGTGAAGAGTGTATTTCCTATGAACTCAGTGGACGCAGTATCTAGGCACTGCATGCAGGTAGCGATGCCACTAGAGATCTGTTAAACAGGCTTGTAGCCGGTCGCCCGGAGACCATAGCGGCACACAAGCCAGTGTCAGGGTGGGGAGGGAATGCGGCAAACTCATTGTAAGAAATGGGGTGTGGTTCAGATCCCACGGGGTATGACAAATTAATAAATATGTTGCACTACTAACGTAAGTCGCTCTGATAACTGCTAATGACAAGTGTAAATGTTATGAATCACTTCAAGATCATCCAGATAGTGTCATTTGCATAAATGGATGAAATACTATTCCGAGTCTGCCTACTTTTCTCAAAAATATGTTTTTTCCACCTTTCTCAATCGATTTGAATGGATGAAGGCACCCTGTGCCTTATCATTGTATATGTCGTCCAGTCGTATCGTTTTCAAAATAGCCCAATTTACTGGAATTCAATCGCGAACATGGCGACACTGCCCAATGGTTAAAGCATTTTTTTTAAAAACTTTGTCTTGTGCTGGGTCATTAGAAAACAATAGCTTTTCCCTCCCCAGTGATGCCTCAACTGAAGTCGGTTTAGTGATGTAAATATTAACATTTCGTTGGACGGTGTATACCATGTGTATATACGACTAATACAACTTGAAACTTGATCTGATCTCAGCGGAAAGGCTACTATGTATAGCATTTTCAGTATTCTATACATGTTGTGCTTTTTGATTTACAGCTAGCATAGCAACTGGCTATGTTGTGATAAACCTGCAGGGTAGCCTAGTGCTTCTTGACCTGTAAGAAGTAAGGTCAGAGGTCAACTTGTTGCATGATAATAGAATAGGCTAGTAAGGCTTCATAACCAAGTTTCTATGGTGTCTTCAATGTTGTTACTTTGCATGGTAGTCAATTGTCAAATATTTTCTTGACACATACTTCCTTCCCCCTTTCTCCTATGGTCTCGTCATTCATCTTGTCAGCTCTTGCTTTCTCCCCTGTAAGTGTCTCTTGGACTGGTTGGTTCTTGGTGTTTCCAGCGTCGTGGACAAGTGCAAGTTCAGAATGTTTTGTATTTTACAGTATGTTCACTTGTCTGCTCTCTCTCTCTCCCTTGTGCCCCCGTCTGCCTGTGTCTATCTGTCTGGTCTGCGTCTGCCTGTCTGGTCTGCGTCTGCCTGTGTCTATCTGTCTGGTCTGCGTCTGCCTGTCTGGTCTGCGTCTGCCTGTCTGGTCTGCGTCTGCCTGTCTGGTCTGCGTCTGCCTGTCTGGTCTGCGTCTGCCTGTGTCTATCTGTCTGGTCTGCGTCTGCCTGTCTGGTCTGCGTCTGCCTGTGTCTATCTGTCTGGTCTGCGTCTGCCTGTCTGGTCTGCGTCTGCCTGTCTGGTCTGCGTCTGCCTGTCTGGTCTGCGTCTGCCTGTGTCTATCTGTCTGGTCTGCGTCGGTCTGCCTGTGTCTATCTGTCTGGTCTGCGTCTGCCTGTATCTGTGCATGACCCACCACAGCTCCACCATGGACAAGAGCAACACGGTGAAGCTCTTCGTGGGCAACCTGGCTCTAGACACCACCCAGGAGGAGCTTTCCGCCATCTTTGAGTCGTACGGCCAGGTGGTCAGCTGCAGCGTCCTCCGACAGTTCGCCTTCGTACACCTACAGGTAGGCTGTAGATATCCCATAGGGAGGGCTAAGGTCTAAGTCCCAATTCTCTTCAGTTCTCCTGAAGTGTACACTTGTACACTTGCACACTCTTCGTCATGGATTTAACAATGATCTAAACGCCTTCTAGCCAATGTTTACACCAACCAATCCTATTCTTTAAAATCCCTGATGAGGATTGCACTACAGAACTGTTTGTTGGTTGTTTTTAAATAGTGTTTGTTTTTGTGTGTACGAGTCCATATGGTACAAAATGTATTTCATCATTGAGTTTTCCTCACGTTAAAGTTTCCTAATCTAAATTAATGTCTTATCATTTTTTAAATTAATTAATTTTTCTAATCTAATATAATCTACTCCCAGGGTGAGGGTTCTGCGGAGCGGGCCATCAGGGAGCTGAACGGCAGGGAGTTCCGGGGGAGGAACCTAGTGGTGGAGGAGTCCCGTGGCAGACCGCTCCACTCCACCAAGGTGTTTGTGGGGAACCTGTCGGGCATGTGCACCACCGAGGACCTCCAGGAGCTCTTCCAGACCTTTGGTAAAGTGCTGGAGTGCGACAAAGTCAAAGGTGAGCCACGCTCCTTCTCATTGAGGGGTACTCCATGAGAAGGGAGTAGCCCTACGAGGGTGTCTCAGGGGGATTTGGGATATGCAATAAACACATTTCCACTTCACACATGCATAACACACACTTGTACATGTGTAAAATAGGACAAATATAAGCACCCACCAAATAGTAACATTATTATTATGGTGCTCACGAGGGTGAAGGGAGAGATTGCTCAGTACGGCGAAGGGTGAAGTTGACCCTAGATGTTGATCTTGGGTGAGTTTGCATTTCCCCCACTACTAGGGCGGCAGGAAGCCTAGCGGCTAGATCGTTGGGCCAGTAACCGAAAGGTTGCTGGTTCGTATACTCAAGCCGACAAGGTGAAAAATCTGTCTTTGAGCAAGGCACTTAACCCAAATTTGCTCCAGGGGCTCCGTACTACTATGGCTGACCCTGACAATAAAACATATGTGTGTTTTAATGGTTAGGATTGGGGGACGGGAAACTTATCCTAGATCTGTACCTAGAGGAAGTCTCACCACGGAGCTTACAGTACATTATGGCGTACCAGTGCTTGAAGTGGGCCGGCTGGTGTCGTCCGGTACGGAGTACAGACACCTAATTCTCTACCGCTGAAGTACTGCACTTCTTATAGAACAGGCTATTGGCTTTAATATATGACAGGGTACCAGCACCCAAAATGAGCACCACCACCTATTTCATTGCACTGCATACCGGTGATGGCTAGTTGAAAGTGTAAAGATCCAAGGTATTCTTAGTTGTTTCGGGCTTTGTCATTATACAACTTTAATAACAATCAGGTAAGGTTTGTGTGTAGTTGTATAGAGCAGTAAGAAAAGTGTGTGTATAGAGCGTTAAGGTGTGTGTGTGTGGTTCTAACTGGTGTCCCTGCGCTCAATGACAGCCAGGCTCTCCTCTTCTGCAGGCTACGCCTTCGTGCACATGGAGAACAAGGAGGAGGCTCTACAGGCCATCGAGGCCCTCCACGGCACCTCCTTCAAGGGACGCCCGCTCTCCGTGGAGCTCTCCAAGGTGCTGTAGCACGATGCACTGACATAGAAATAGACCCCCCCCCCCCCCCCATTCAAGTTAATTGCCCTGTGATGGGAGGACCGTCAAATTGCTGTGGTCTGAGGGGTGATGCCTGTTCTAGTGATTCTATTTCTGTGTACTATATTACCCATACTGCCCTGTCTTGTATATCCAGTTATATGATGGTGAAGGTGTAGCATGGCGTACTACAGCAGTGCTTCTCAAACCTCTCCTCAGAGTCCCCCAGCCATTCCATGGATTTTAACTTCCACAGCTAGCACACCTGATTGACTTGTCAACTAATCATCAAGCCCTGACTAGGTGAATCATGTGAGTTAGTTTAGGGCTACAACAACATTGTGAAACGTCCGGGGGTCCCGGACGTTTGAGAACCACTACAGTACCTATAATGCTCTGAGTTATAGGCTAGATGCAGTTGTCTCTTAGTAAAGACAGTTCCTGAAGCTAGCTAACAAATGGTGTCTGTCTTCGTATCCATACAGGTGCAGCCCTCCAAGCAGACCCCGACGGGGAAGATCCCCTGTGTAAGCTGTGGGAAGCAGGGCCACTACGCCGGGGAGTGCCCTGTAGGGAAGCCCTCTCTGGAACAGTACCAGAGCCAGGCGGCTGTGCTAGCTGCAGCCGCCGCTGCCGCAGCCGGCCTCCCCCTCCAGGTCCAGCAAAGTGTCCACAACTCTGTCTACAACACCTCGACCTTTGACCCCACCTACGCGGCGTTGACCGGCCTCACTACCGGCACGCGGGCGGAAGGTAACCCTGTCAACCAGGCGGTGTATGGTGCCCTGGCGACGCAGGTCTACGGCGCTAACGTGGCCAATCAGCTCTATGGAGTCCAGGCAGCCAATCAGGCGGCAGCGTTGACGCAGGCGGGCGCCACGCAGGTGTACGCCAGCTCCATGAACCCCAGCCACGCCGCCCTCTACGGTCAGCTCAGTCAGATTGCTGCCAGCCCCGCTGCAGCGTCCGCCGCTGCCTACTCCACACCAGTGTACGCGCACGCCATGGCTAACCACCACCACCCGGGGGCCATCTACCTGGCAGCACCTGGCGTAGAGATGCCTGCGGCCGCTGCTGCAGTCAACCAGGCCTACGCCATGGCGCCGGCACTCTATGGGGGTGCCCAGCATGCCTACGGCCACATGGGGATGGGTGCCGCCATGAGCGCATCGGCGGACCCGTCGGCGGCCATCTTTGAGGCAGCGAGGGTGCAGCACTACTTCGCCCAGGGACAGCAGGTTCTGGCCGAGCAGCAGAACGCGGCGGCGGTGGCGGCGGCACAAGCGGCAAAGTCTGGAGAGAGGGACCGGAGTCCCCTGAGGCGCTCTGCGGGGTCCCTGCTGCCTGACCCCGTCATGAAGCCCTTCATGTACCAGAGAGCCCCCAAGCAGCGCCGGCCGCTGCTCCCCACCCCCGCTGGGCGAGCTGCAGAGGAAGCAGCGGAGGCTGGAGAGGACCCCATGGCTAGGTACTACCACTTTCTTCTTCTTCTTATCAAACCCTCTTTGACCCTTCACAATTTAGTTAACTTTACACCAAATTTCCAGTCGAGAAAGTCCACTAAGTTGAATTTTCACTTAGTCTCCCATCATCAGTGCAGGACTGAGTGAAAATGTTTAGTATTCGCCCCAATGTTAGTATTCGCCCCAATGCTTTTAGGAGCCCTTAACCCTGATCGCTTTATTGAAGACTCTTCTACCCTCCCCAATGCACTACACCCTACACACTCTCTTCTCACTACATTACCCTGTCTCACTACAAACCTTCCACAGACTTCAGGAGTGGTAGTGGACATACTTATTGGAACTGAATTGCTCAGTACATTATCCTTCATTGTCATCAAAGACTCGCTTTACCTCTTGTACATTTTCTGAAAACCTGTTTGTGTGAAAAGACTACAATTCCCTACTGGTAGATGATCTAAATCGCTCTATCTGTCCCCCTCCCTTCCTCCCTCCCTCCGTGTGTATCTTAGAGAGCAGTGCCAACAGTACGCTGAACACTACCAACAACAGTACCAGCAGCTCCAGCAGTTACAGTAATTAGGCCAATCCTAATTTCCACTTCAAGTCAAATCTTCTTTTAAGTCGAGAAATTCCACTTTAAGTCGGATTTTCACTTAGTCTTCCATTTACATCAGTGCATGGCTAAGTGAAACTTTGACTTCAGTGGAAGTTAGGGTTCGCCCCAATGGTTTTAGGAGCACTTAACCCAGATCTCTCAGTATTGAATCCTCTCTGACCCTCCCCAATGCACTACACCCTCTCTTCCTTTGCACGACGTGACCCTCTGTCTGATGTTCAGACTTCAGGAGTGGTAGTGGACATACTTACAGGAACTGAATTGCTCAAGACATTATCTTTCATTGCCATCAGAGACTCTCTTAACCCCATGTACATTGTCTGAAAGCCTGTTCTTTGTGTGCAAAGACTACAATTCCCCAGTAGATGATCTAAAAACGCTCTTTCTGAAAGGCTGTTTGTGTGGAAAGACTACAGTTTCCTACTAGTCGACACCTTTGTGTTAAAAGGCTACAATTCCCTAATAGTCAATGATAGTCGATGCCTTTGTGTGAAAAGACTCCAAATCCATAACAGTCAATGATAGTAGATGCTTTTGTGTGAAAAGACTCCAGTTCCCTTATAGTCAATGATAGTAGATGCCTTTGTGTGAAAAGACTACAATTCCCTAATAGTCAATGATAGTCTATGGTTTGTTTGAAAAGACTACAATTCCCTACTGGTAGATGATCTAAAACGCTCTATCTTTCCCCCTCCCTCCCTCCGTGTGTATCTTAGAGAGCAGTACCAACAGTATGCTGAGTACTACCACCAACAGCACCAACAGCACCAGCAGCTCCAGCAGTTACAGTACGCTATCTACCCTACCTACCGCCCCCCGAAAGGCTCTCTGTACCCCCACTCGATTTTTTGTGTGTAAAAGACTGTAATATACAATCCCTAGTAGATAATCCGAAACTCTTGTTTGTCTGTCTCCCTCCCCTCTTTCCTCCCTCCCTCCCCCTTCTCTCCTTCTCATTCCCTCTCTCCCCAGGTACTATGCAGAGTACTACCAGCAGTACCAGCAGTACCAGCAACTCCAGCAGTACCAGCAACTTCAACAGTACCAGCAACTCCAACAGCTCCAGTACGCCTACCCACCTCCCAACCACCACGCCATAGCTGCCATCCCAGCCCACGCCCTGGCGGGCCACGCCCACCACCACGGCCAGCCGGCCCACGTCACGGCGCTGGACGCCGCCCTCAGGCCAGTGGTGCCTGCCTCCGCCGTGGCCGCCGCCATGGTGGCAGCGCCCAGAGTGTATGAGCCGCCGCTGCCGCCGCCACCGAACCGCAAGGAGGCCGTCCTCCGCCGAGCCCCCGAACTCTCCCTTCACACGCCTGAGCCCCCCTTCAGATAGTCACCTCCTCTGTTTCCTCCCCGCCTACCACCGTATACCACCCTCGTACCCCTCCTTCCTCTCAGCGGCTGTGTGTTTCTGTGGATATCTGTGTGTGTGTGGGGATTTGTGTGTGAGTGTGTTTGGAGTTTAGGAGCCGTCCATTGACTGCAGTAAGAACCCAACCCCACCTTGGTGCTGGTACCACACTAACAGTGCAGTTAAAGAAGGCAAGACTTGCTGTCTTCCTACCACCACAATGTTGGCTTTTCTAGCTACTGACTCTTTCAATGGTAGACAGGTGCCAGTAATAGATAGTCATTCTCTCAATGCCTTCAATATAGAGATGAGGTCAAAATATCACAACTGATTATTTTACTGTCTGCACTGTGGTGTGTTGCGTAGCTCCAGGGTTGGAGGGGCCTGTGTGTCTTGTGTGCGTCGGGACTGTGGTGCGTGTGTGTGTGTGTGTGTGTGTGTGGGAGAGCGATGTTGGCTTTCTGTTGTTACAATGTAATGCACACACTCCCACACATGCTGCCTTGTTCCCTCATTAGCTCACCCCTGGGAGACTCGAGGAGCATAGGCACACTGTACTATATGGAACTACCTTCTACCTACCCAACCCCCTCCATCCCTCACACCTGCTGTAACCAGAACACTGAAAGACACTGCTGCATTTCTGCCCTCTTTTACTCTGTCTATACCTTAGCTGGGTAACCCAAATTAAACGCCGTGCTCACCACTGAAACAATAGAGGGTGTAATATTCAATCTATACCTCCCTCTGACAATGAGAGCAGTGAGATTAGCTGGTTATAATATGAATGGTCTGCCTTCTATCCATACAGTTTATCAGTCAGTGTCAGTTGCAGGGTTGGAGTCCATTCCATTTCAATTAAATTCAGTAAATTTACTTCCTGAATTAAAATGGAATTGACCCATCCCTGGTCAATAGTTTGGAGAAGAATGATACATTTTAGGGACAAAGATTTCTATGCACTGTACTACTAGAGTCTTACTGCATCAGTGTATTTTGAGAGACCTTTTAAAGTATTAGTTAGTTTAGTTTTTTTTTTTTATGTAAGTGGTTGTCGGGTCGATGAAGAGTACATTCTAACCCCTCAGATCAAGTATGAATTATTTTATGGATTTATAAGTAACTCAACTTTTTAGACTTGCTAGAGAATCATGAGTTTCAATGAGGTTAAAGGAAAACTCCACCCACAAAACTCTCTTTTGGTATTTGTTTCTTTAGTCCATTGTTGACATAGTCCCAAGTTTTCAAGATATGTAACTTTCAAAACGCTGCATCATATGACGCAAAATGCATCGTACAGGGATGATTTCTATATTTTGAAAGTTACATATCTTGAAAGCGTGATTGCTGACAAGTAAAACATTTTGAGACTATGTCAACAATGGACTAATGAAACAAATACCAAAAGATAGTTTTTGGGTGGAATTGTCCTTTAACGTTGTGCCTAAGCTTTGTGTGAAGTGCATATAGTGGAGGGAAGGTCTCCTTTTTGAAGTGCTTTTTTACTTACACATGTCAATCTTTTTAATCTGCGATGGAGGGGAAAAGGTTAGGATAATGTGACGTGATGATTTTTCCGTGGTGCAGTAACGTTCGCACCGATGATGAGAGATGGAGCAGTATCTTTCAGTCGCCCTGTTCCGACGTATCCTTGCACCCTGTTGTAAGACGACTCACTACCCCCGTACCCCGCTGTGTCCTTCCTCCTCTTCTCCCTGTGATTTTAATGATTTAGTATTTTATCTTGCATATAATCTCTCTCTCACACACACAGTTTCATCTGTGGGATCTCTACGATCAGAAAAAAACACCCTTTCTTGTTATGCTTGTTGCTTGCCTTGTTTCTGAACGTATTTTTAGAACTATTTAAAATGTAGCTTTTTTTTAACAAAAAGAAAACCGGCATGCTTTTTAGTATGTATACTACACATACACACCATTTAAAAAATAAAGAATGTTTCTGACTACAGTGAGGAAAAGAAAAAAAGTGCGTTTCGGATGTATTTCTCCATCCTTGTTTCTACGTCTTTTTTCGTCTTTTTCACTCCTCCTTCCCGTCTCTCCTTCCTTGTTGTAATGACCAGACCCATATGACTGGGGACCAGGGTGGCAGAGAAAAGGAGGAGTAGCGTCTGTGTGTGCGCCCCCCCTAGTCTGCCTCGTGGATGGGGTAAGTCTGGTCTGGGGTCGGCACTCCTCTCTCCAGCTTCAACCAAACTCTAGGCCTACAGCACAGTCAGACAGACCCTGGGTTCGTGCCAATCATATATATTTTCTCCTCAAATGTGCACTTGTTCACTTCCCTTTACTGTTGCGAGAGGAAATGTACTGAAATGAGGGAGTTTGATGGTGCAAACTCCTTCTAGGCCATGGGTTTTCAACTCTTACCCTGTGAGGTCTGGAGCCTGCTGGCTTTCTGTTCTACCTGATAATTCATTGGACCCACCTGGTGTCCCAGGTCTAAATCAGGCTTTGGGGTCCGGAGTTGAGTTTGAGGGTTCTAGCCTCTGCTAAATGTTTTTAAGATATGTGGGAAGTAGTAAACGAGTGTACACTTCAGGAGGAAGAGATCATTGGGACACAACCCCTCACTGGTACATCAACAAGGCATCTACTGTGTTACCATGCTGTTACCATGCGCTCATGTCTGAAAACAGCTTCCGTGACCTCTGATCTTTTTGATTTCCACTTTGTGCCAAACTAGTGTAAATTTCATGACATTTTAATTGCAGATTCAATGTTGAGCAGAGGGGAGCGCACTACTCGCTTGCAGATGACTCCTTGTTTTAACAATGGGTGGACAAACACACACACACACACATCTGAGACCTGGGGAGAGGCACACAGATAGAATGACTGTGGCATTTTGATCTGTGGGGGGGTGCTATGTGTCTGCTCCTATCCAACAACCACACCACCAACACCATGTGTCTGTCTCTGTTGTGCTAGACGTGCATGTCACTCTGCTCTCTGTCCAAAGCCCCTGACATACTGACTAACTATTCCAACTGAAATAGGTCCCGGCCACCGGACACCACCCAGCAGGTGTGAGGTGAGAGGGGGAAGACAATAAACGTCGCACGGGCAAATGGGAAGTGGGAACACAATCTTCTCCACCAAGGTAATGAAACAAAGCACTGTCCCCGCCCGTCCATCTCTGACTGTGCCTTGACCGAAACACCCCTCCTCCCCCCTCCTCGTCCACCATCACCCACCCTTCCCCCCTCCGTAGCTCCCCCTCACACCTGCGTTGACATTGCCCGGGGGGCTTCTTTTGGGGTCACTGCTCACGCTGTGATGTCTTCTACCAGACTTCCAGTGACTTCTCCTGTCTCTCACCATGCAGCACCTACAGATGTCAGTCACTCTGTCGTGCTGATGTGTGTCTGAGAGCAAGAGACCGCGTGTGGAACTGTATGTGTGTGACTGACTGTACATGTTTGAGAGCGAGAGACCGCGTATGTGTGTGTCACTGAATGTATGTGTCTAAGAGAGTGTGTGTGTGTGATGTCATTGGTGTTTTGAGGCTTGGTACATGTGGATCCCCCCGCCCCCGCTAGTGACTCCTACGCCGCCGTATTCGCCGCCCCTCCCCCCCAACCCATCCCCCTCTGCGCCTGTCCGCCGTACACAGCTTGCTGCCGCCGCCGCCTGCCGCCATCTTGGATCTAGGCTGGGCTCTGTGGATCAGCAGCCCCCAACTGGCCACACCCACCCCTGGCTATGGCTGTAACCATAGAGACCTAGTGAATGACAATGGACACCGTGTATGGTGGCCTAATGGGGTCACTCGGCTGGACGGAGTATAAACTCATCAGACTTTGTAGGGCGAGAGTTTTTTTTGCTTTGCTAATACTGTGATCCTGGGTTTGCCATGGCTGTGTATGGGAGTTTAATCACTATTCACCACCACCTCCTCCTTGCAGTTGAATGACTCATGTCAAACGTATCTAATTAAATCCGATAAACTGACCTTGCTCTGGAGGATAACATTTGTAATATGCTTTTTAACACAGAGTTCCCTATGGCCCTCTCGCCCTATCAAAAACGTCCAATAAGGGCCCAACTACCTGCAGATTCACTGCAATCTCAGGACTCCTATAGGACTTCTTTGGTATGGGGACTGTTTCTCTCCTCTCGAGGCAGCTACACCGACCGGCTGTACCTGTGGGTTGCAATGTGGATATCTGAGTCTCCTGTTGAGATGGTTGAACACACACACACTCATCTGAGTTGTCCGGCATGTGGTAGAACAGCTGAGTGGTTCGTTGCCGGTGGGGGGCAGAGACGAGACTGGGAGAGGGTTTGGTCTCCGCCTCTCTGTCTTATGAAGGAAAGGAAAGATGGATGGAAGGAAGGTGAGTTGGTAATGTAGGGATCTCCAGCTCTGATCCATCCCTGTTCCCTAACCCTTCTATCCTAACCATGGGGGTCCCTACAAGAAAGTAATAAACACTGGTCTACCGCTGCACTAGATGGTTTTTGATGCATTTTGGTCAATATCCTTCTTAAAAAACAATGTTATGCCTGTGTTTGTTTCCAAAAGAACTTGAAAGACCATTTTAATACATTTTATATGAGGGTAATCTATACAAATCCCCTTAAGGTTCAGCGGCAGTCCCCACAAAATAGAAATGTAACTGATCCTTCAACCTCCATGACCAGGATGTGGTGGTCTTTCCCACACAGTCCCCTCTCACTGTCACACTTGGATGTGTGCAGTCTGACTCTCTAGTGCTTGAGTAAATGTAGCCAGCCATGAAGGTTCCCTTTTGGCTCACCCTGACTGACAACCACATGGCTGCTTCCTCTCTCCACTGCTCCTCTCCGGCTCTCTCCCTCTGCACAGCACAGGACAGGGAAGCCATCAATGCTGCCTCACACACAGAAGCTCAATTCCGACGCTCACCCCTGTTCCCTGAAGTGTGCACTTGTTCAACCCTCATGGAGTGAACGAGTGCACACTTCAAGGAGAGGGG